TCTCTCACAAAACCCAATTCAATGGTTCTCTCATGGAACCCACACCCAAACTGTTAGCATATCGGTACGTGGTATCCGATCCAATGTTTATGTTGGAACATGGCAATCGATCTAATGTTTATGCTGAAATGTGACAGCCGATCCCATATTTATACCAAAACGTGGCAACCGATCCCAGTTAGTGTGCCGGAACGTGGCAACCGATCCCATTCAACAAGCCACAATCACAATCACAATGTATATTCTCACAATCATACAACAAGAGGTGATTCATGGCATACAATTATTCAATTATCCTCATTTACGATTAGGGTGATCAATAATGCAACATTCGTATATATACATGCATTATAATGAGCAATTACAAACATATATCACACCAACATGAAATCACAACTATCACCTACCTCGAATCCAAGCTTGAATCTCCTAAGGCACTTGAATCTTCCCTTTTCGGATTCTTACCGCTTTTTCTAGGTCTACAAACAACAATTATAATATGAGAATCAATAAACAATCACTAATTACCCGAATTACTAACAATTCTATGAACCCTAGATCAAACCCATGATCCCAATTATCCAAATTATAATTGTTTCCACCATAGAATCTATAGCAAAACCCTTCCCCATCAATATTCACCCATTCTATTACGTTCTACGAATCGAAAAATGGATTCGGGGAGTGAAAAACTTACATTTAGCCTCAAGAATGGTGAAAAATGAGTAGCAGTCGCCTGTGGTTCGTTCCTTGGTTCTAAAAATCAAAAAGTGCCAAATAAGGTCATTTAGGGAGTTCTACTCGCTCTGGCGTCCTACAGGGAGACATAAAGTTCATTCACGCTAAGATCATTTTCGGGAGTTCTACTCGCCCAAATTCGATTCCGTAAAGTCGTACGGGTTCCTTAACGTCTTAGTTATCTACTCATGCGGTCCAAATCATAATTAGATCTCTCATTAATTACCAGAATTTCCTACACCTTAATGACTCCGATTTTGTCCAAATTTAGACTAAGTTGGGAAATTCCACTACAAGAAAAATCACTTTTAGCGAGGGAAATTTGGTCGCTAAAGATCCTATTCTGGTCGTTACTAACATATAACGACAGAAAAAATAATGGTCATCACCGGTCGCTAAAAGCTTCGTCGTTAAAAGTTAACGACCGGATTCCAAATTCGGTCGTTAAAAAACTTTAGCGACAACAAAAAAATCTGGTCGCTATATATATTATTTAGCGACCAATATTTCCTTTCGCTAATTAACATGCATGTCGTTAATAACATTAGATGACAGAGGTAAATATGCTCCTTATCAGTTCTTCTAGTGAAATAAGATTATATTTGTTAATTGTTTGTAAGTTCTAACTCAAAGTCTAATTATTATATGATTATTGTTGTAAATATATTTTTTAAAAATACATTAAAAGTTTACGAGAAATATTTGTATTAATATAAAGTTTCATAGTAAATTCCAAAGAACTAAATTATCATATTACCAAAAGTATATCTATCAACTTTATAATATTTATTAAACACATAAAATATAAACAATTAGGTAGCAATGGAAACACATTTAACAACTCCAAAAAAAAATAAAAATTGTGTCTCTGGTCTTCAACTTGTTCTTCGATATTTTTAGTTAGACTTGATCATCTGCACTTTATTTGTGGATTGTTAAGACTCCAAATTTTAACATCTGTAAAAAGAAAAAGTTCATGTTAGTTTAGTAACAGATGCTAGTTTTTTCTGCAAAATCAAAATAAATCAATAAGAAAATAAATACATCTTTATGACTATCCAATTAAATTTATTCAACAAGAGAACTTAATTTAGTTGAATGGAACTGCCCAAAGAGAGTTTTTCTCTTCTTTTTTTGAGTAAGAAAAGTCCTATTTGAATATAGAAGCCTGGACTATCACAACAAAAGCTATGTAATAAGAAGTGAACAATTACACTAGTATGGAGTCACACTAGTGGAGTCATTGTATACGTCCCTGTCATTTGATTTTTCTTCTCTTTTATTGATACCTAAGGAATATAATAGGGGTATTGCAAGAAGCATGTTTCAACAAGTTATAATTGAATCACAAATTCCAAGAGCAAGTAGTTCAGATTAGAGGCAATCTTTCTGTTTATGTGTCAACATCATGATAATCATATACGCTAATGCCTCACTTTTTATCAAGCCTACCATCATCAACATACTTCACAAGGAGATTCAGGCCAATAACAAGCCCTCACGAACTCCCCATAACAACATATATCAACAATGAACTCCAACACTACTATCTACAATAATTAAAATGAAAAGTTATACGCTTCACAATCAATAAAAAAAGAAATGAAAAAAGTTTTGATTTGACACTTGAGCAACATTAAGGATCAAGGTTTGTAAGTATATCATATCCTACTCTACAAGAAGTTTTCCTTTTAAATTCAACATTACAAGAAGTTAAAGGAAGATATATTAGTGCTAAATTGTTTAATCAACCTCATTTAAAATTTTGAACCATTAAAAATATAAGGCACAATTCAACATAATAACAAAGTAAGTAGAGGTCCTAAGTTTTAAGTGTCACTACCACCTATTATCAAGAAAGTATTTTACGTATTTGACATATGAAAAGATCAAGTTTGCACATGAGAACAAGAGATAATCTACTTAAATGTAACTAAGAGTAAATAAAGTGTCTCTCTAGCGACTTAAGATTACAGATCAGTTATTCACACACAATTCAAGAACTGACACCTTGTCTTTAAGCTGTTATACCCGAGAAACGCAGAAATTGGCAAGAGATAAGCTTGATGGTAGTCATGCTTGAAAATCTTAGCTTTATATTTTATTCACCAACTAAGGATTGAAAATAATCCTAGAAGAATGAGAAGATACCAAGCTCTGCATAGCTTTAAGTTTGAAGAAAAAAGGTAGTTCTTATAAGGATAAAAAGTTCCAATAACTAAGTTGATGAGTTAATTATAAGAACTTGGTTGTTTAGTATAAGTCAACAGCCACTGAGTTCTCTGATTCCTTTCTGCAGTATCATTGATATTAAATTGTTGTAGCTCAATGCTGATCATCTCATTAGGCAGTGACTACAATTCTTTTTCTCCTCTTTTTTTGGTTAAATATGAAACTAAATGTTCTCATATATAAAGAGTATTAAACATGTCTTAAAATTTTATACATGTCCCAAATAAAGAGTCACGTGAGCCTCTCTCTTGTCACAACTCGAAAAGACATTATTCCTTTTCAGGTTAGTGCTAATAATGGCAAGTACTAAATAATAATTATAATCACAACTAGCCGCCTTAGTATGCAAAGCCAACTCTTTGCCCCATGATAATATGAAACCAACTCTCTTGTCTTCTTTGGATAAGACAACATTCTTATACTATACGAACTATTAATGTTGCATAAACAAATCTTGTAGAAACAACATTGGAATGACGACATATCACAACAAATAGAGGTTCAGTTCCTAAAGAACCTATATGAAAGAGAATTTAAATCAAATTCTTGAGAAATATATAAAATTGTATAGTAATAGCAACTCATACAACTTAACATTCTGCATCTTTTTGAATTCATTCCCCTTAACTTGATTTTATACATTCTTTATCCAAACTTCAATCAAGTCAAAAAGAAATTATCATAAAATAATAAAAAAAAAAACAACAACATACCCGGTATAATCTCACTAAGTGGGGTTTTGTAGATGATAGAGTGTTGCAGACCGTACCACTACCTCATGAAGATAGAGAGGTTGTTTCCGAAACACCCCTGTCTCAAGATAACTCTATCTTACCTAATCATAAAAATATCACTGAGAATTCGTCAACATGTTAAAATTAATTTTCATATTTGTATGAAAGTAGTTACTGAAAATAAAAATTGAACTTGTATCTAAGGCATAGGATGCATAATATGCAGTACTTGACTCGTGAAAATTAGGATAAGAATAAGAATAAACATAACAAGCTGACAAAAAGTAACATACTATAATGTTCAAGAGGGGAAACAACAGGTGGCAATGAAATCGGTATGTACAGAAACTTTATTTGCACTAAAGTTCTCATGAGCTGAATAAGTTATAAAACCACTTGATATTGCTCCAGATCATAAGAAAAAGCTGCAGCAATGGCTTATTCATCACGTCTTCATCAAATCAGTTAATAAATATATTCAGTTCATGGAACAGGGAAAACAAAACCTCTGTACATGTGATTTTTGCTTCATGCAAACACTTCAAAACTAAAATTAAACTACTAATGAAAATGGAGAAAGGAATATACAAGGATTGTCAAGAAACTCAGCACAAAAGGATAATACAAATCTTTATGCAAACAACTTTTGTACCAGTACAACATAAAAATTCAAAATTAGAAACTACATATATTTCATTATAGTTTCAACTCACTGTAATGTCTAACATGTATTGCACATCTTCTCTACTATATAATGAACAACATTGTCTTAAAAGCACACCACTTGAACATTCTTTAATGAGGAAATCCGTTATACTTCTAAACAGTTAAACCAGAAATTCATTAGTTATGTCCTGTTAGTTTACGTAGTCCTCACAGAAATAGGATTCCCATCAAGTATAGCTCGAATGTGTCCCGTAATTCTTTACATTATTAGTGGATATTTTGAGGGTGAAGATCTCCACCAGACATCATAAAACAAATTGTCTTTTGTTGGGTGTTTGCAATTTTCTAATTTCTTTCACTCCAAATGCATAGTAAGTTTGCTCTCTCTATAGCATTTTCTTTTGTTGCCTAAACAATCTTACTCTTTGTTTTTCAATCATATAATTTTTTAACCATGCAACATACTAAATGTGTATGTGTAGAACAAAGGTTCATCTATTTCATAGTATTACATTAGATACACTATTACATCAGAAATAAAGTTTTGTTTTGACCACATAAATATTTATTTCTTATCTAGTTCATAGTCTTAGAATCCTCCAATTGAAATAGAATTAGTCATCTTTCTCTTTAAATTCAAAAGCATCACTGCCTGCCACTCTCGGTGCAAAAAAATACTTAGTTTAGCTCTAGAATGACAGATAGGATTAACAAAATTATTCAATAATCACAATCATTCATCAACTTTATTTTCAATCAAAGATACCACCAAATATCTTCTAAGTTTAATAACACAAGCAGACAAAAATATTAATACAAGTAGATAGAAAACCATGTAAAAAGAACCCTACTTAAAACATAGAGAGTAAATTTATGATCAGACAAACTCTGCGCTCCACAACTGCAATTGATGGTTAAAACTGCAGAAACATGCCTAGATGAGCAGGAAATAAGCATGCTAGTTCCTTTGTGCAACTACTGATGCCGACGAGCAGACAGGTTGAAAATGATCAGAAAGTTGATTTTCTTTTCTTCTTCTTTTGTAGTTCACAATAGAATCCACCAACCAAACAGTTCAAAACCAAAATGGCTTACTTTGATGTAAAATGGTTGCGAAAACTGCAATAGATGAAAAAAAAAGAATATCATACCCATATTCAACGCACTGAATCACGTTATTAGGTTTTAGGGTAATCTTCGGCCCTCAATCTCCATAGATGTAATTAAGATGCTTGCTTACTGGGTCCTTCATCGCAGATTGAGATTGCATCGGCTCCAAATCGACAAATTGAAAGAATTTTGGCAGAAAGTCCACTCCTTTTAACAAAACCTAATATATTTTTGGGATCAAAAGAGAGAATTCTGAGGTTTATGTTTCTCGGGTTTGGAGAAAATGGGGGAAAAGGTAGTGGGCCTTATTTTTTAATCAATTACTTAATTTTAGCGAGAGGTTATTAAGAAGAGCAACTTTCACATATAGCAAATACAAAATTCATATTTGTATACTATAGCAAAGTTTGCATAATTGCGCTCTATAGCAAACATGTTATGACTAGGCTATTGCGCTATACATATATACAAAAGAAGCAATTGTATAATTTGCTGGCTCCTCTTCAGATTCGTATAATTTTGCTGGCAGGTCATTTGTATAAATTGTTGTCAACCTCTCGTTTGTATAAATCTTTGAGAGTCTCTCAATTTAATTTTATATGTTTGTATATCTGTATAAAATTTGAATTTGTATACAAATGAATCGAAATAAAATGTTTGTATATCAAATATCGCTCTCTCTCGCTTTATACAAACATAAATTATACATTGTATTTTGTATAATCTGTGTTTGTATAAAGCGAGAAAAAGAGAAAGGCAAAAGAGAACTGGACAAGGGAATATTTGTATTATATAATTATAAGTGTATAGGACGAAGATATATGTATTTGCATGTGTATATACAATTTTCTCTCGCTTTATACAAACAGAAACACAATTTATACATTTATGTTTGTATAAAACGAGAGAGGCGAGCGACAGAGGGAGAGTGGCGAGTGAGAGTTTGAGGGAGAGAGGCGATTGGCAAACAGTTTGCTACAGGGCACAATTAAATCAAAGTGTGGTTACACCATTTAATTTGAATTAATAGTTTGTCATTATGTACAATTTTCTCTATTATTAATTTTAAGAACCCGATATTATCCATTAATTAAAATCTAACTAAAAAATCCTTTAACAACCGGAAATAAAATTAGTTGTTATAAGTACACTTATAAAGACTAGATTCATTTCCCTTCGTTAAGAATTGGTCGCTAAAAGTCAAGTTTCTTGTAGTGTTCCAAGTTACTACGAAAAAGTTTTCTGGCCCCAATTATTTCTTCATTGGCTTTTCCCTTATGACGGAATCAGGTCGTTACAAAATTGCTCATTAGTCAATGATATCGTGCTATTATATATATAATGTGTTGATATCATTGAGGATTAGTTGGTTGTACATGAATGAATGTAGGAAACCAACTTAATGATATCATATAGTAGTATATGATACCGTCATGATATCATTAATGCATGAGTAATTTTGTGAATGAAGTAATGAAGGAAACCTTAGTGCTATCATAAGAGTATATGTATATGTTATGATGGTATCATAAATGATATGAAGATTGTTACTGATTATATGAAATAATTTCAATGATACCATGTTGTTATACGATATATTGTGATGGTATCATTGAAAAATTATGATATCATCTCTTGAAGAATTGATCATCAGTCAATGATACCATCCTATTATTGAATGATTGAAGCAAACATCAATAGTATCATGGCAATATATAGATAATGTGATGGTATAATTACAAACGGAATACAAACCATAATGATACCATGTCAATATATAGATATATTGTGATTGTATCATGGAGGTCCCACTAAAAGATTGAAGCATCGAAGCATGCATCAATGATGCCATGACAATATGTAGATCTATTGTGATGTTATCATGAAGGTCTCACTGAACGATTGAAGCAACATTCAATGATAGCATAATAATATATATGAAATTAAATTGTGGTGAAAAATACAAAAATATTATAATTTGAGCAAAAATATGAATGGTAAAAGAAGAAAAATAATAAATAATCAAAAATAATCAAAAAAAAAAGAGAAAAGGAACAGGAACAGGAAATAAAGAAATTGAATGATAAAAATAAATGTAAAAATAAAAGGAACCAATAGATGAGAAAAAAGTGGAAAAAGGAAAAATAAATAAATAAATGAGAAAAAAATTTAAAAGCAGAAAAAGTATATAAGATAATTTTTTTATTAAATTTGATTTAATAAATGAGTTAGTGATTTTACTATTTTTTTATTTACTTTTGTTGTAGTCTAATTATTTAATTTTCTTACCTTTATTAGTCTAAAGAAAGTTAATTACTATATTTAATTTTGAATGTTATTAAAAAAGATTTATAAAAAAAAGGAAGAAAACAACCTTTTAGATGAAAAGAAAAGTTGAGTCTTTCACAATAATAAAATTAAAAAGATAAAATAGAAAAAGAGTGATAACATCATGCCGAAGTCAGACCGAGTAAAGAGAAAAATTTGCAGTTAGGTAATTATTGAAGGGTGTTAAAATAAAAAAGTAGTCACTTGTAAATATTTTTTCTTTTTTGGGTACAAGTGAAAATGTATTGTAACATGATAATAAAAATCAAGAAAATGAATGAGTCAAGTCAACCAATAATTCAACGCAAGGATAAATATAGAAAAAAATAAAATAAGCACTAGACATCTCAGAGTAATTCAGTGCTTTTAAAGAAATTTTATAATTTCTGGACTCCAAATTAAGATTTTGTTACTAAGATGTGAAGCAAAATTTTGTATAAATTTGCATCACATTTAATATCCAACATTATATTTTCTAAAAATGGGTTACCCCAGCTTTATCACGATCATCCTCTTGTTGTTATTATTTGTATTTCCCTTTGACCTTATTAAAGGTTGTTTTTTAACCAGAAATTATCACGTACAAATTATCGACGATCTTCCTTCTAATTCACCTCAACTGAAAATTCATTGTGCTTCAAAAGATGATGACTTTGGAGACCGATTTCTATCTAGTACCCAAAACTTCACTTGGTCGTTTTGTGAGGATTTATCGGTTCGTACTTTATATTTTTGTCATTTCTGGTGGGGTTCAAATGATCGTGTATTTGACGTGTTTAACGACCCTCAGAATTGTATCCTTCATGGAAAAGTTGCAGCTTACTCAACTACATGTGCATGGGTGGTTAAACCAGATGGGTTTTATTTGGGATACTATGAGAAAACAAGTGGAACTCTTTCGACGTACAAGGCTTATGATTGGGGTAATTAGTAACAAGTTGGAGGTTTCTCTTCTTGTAAAAAAATTAAAATCCAATACTCATTTGAGTTTTTAATTCATTTAATTGATGTTATGTGTGTTGAGAAAAAATAATTTTATGTTTTGAGAAAAACTTTTCATATTATTGTCTAGATTCATTTCTTTGTATCTTAATGTTCGTTTTATTTTTTTTACTTGTCGAATTTTGACTTAACACATTTATAAAAAACATACTCCCTCTGTTTCGAAAAAAGTGACCTAGTTTGACTTGACACGAGTTTAAGAAAATAAAGAAGACTTTTGAATCTTGTGGTCCTAAATTAAAATTATGTCAAATGTACAAAATTGCCCTTTAATCTTGTGGTATTAAACATGTCACGTGGAAAGATGAAAGTAAAATTTTACCAAAAAAGGAACGAGGTCATTCTTTTTTAAACAAACTAAAAAGGAAATTGGAGGTCATTCTTTTTGAAACGGATGGAGTACTGATTAGTATGATGAATTTACCATTTTACCCCTATTAATTGATAGGATACCCCAAACATATTTACTCATCATATTTTTCAAAACGTTAATCAATGTTAATAAATTAAGCATATAATAGGAGAAAATAAAATTGTTCTTACTTGATTGATAAAAAATGACAAGTAAAAGGAGATATCAAATTAGGAAATTTGATAAATAATTAGGGGCGAAGGAAGTAGTTAATAATGAATATTTGATATATTAATTATTCTTATGTAACACCCCGCAACTAGAAAGAGTCATTTTTGGAAAGAATGAAAAATCTGGAAATTTGACAAAATTAAGTTAAGTATGAGTTTTGGGTCAACTTCAAACGACCATAACTCCTAACTCAGGATGAGTTAGGTGTGGTACAAGATACCATAGGAAATATATTTGAATTATCTTTCCAACACTCCGAGTTTGCTCAGTTTCGTGTTCTTATGAGGGAGATATGCCCATTAGAAGTTGGTCTGTCTAGATAAGAAAAGTCAAAACCGGATTTTAGAAGGGTATTATGGTCTTTTCATTTCTCAATTAATTAAATTCGTTTTTGGTAATTAAGTTGGGGTCTCAACTGATGGGATTCAATTTACGCTATTGAAAATAAGTTAGGGTTTTGAGAGAAGAGAGAAGAAGAGGAGAAAAGAGAAGGAGAAGCAAGGAAATCGCCAAGTTCTACTCCGAGTTTGCTCAGTTTCGTGTTCTTATGAGGGAGATATGCCCATTAGAAGTTGGTCTGTCTAGATAAGAAAAGTCAAAACCGGATTTTAGAAGGGTATTATGGTCTTTTCATTTCTCAATTAATTAAATTCGTTTTTGGTAATTAAGTTGGGGTCTCAACTGATGGGATTCAATTTACGCTATTGAAAATAAGTTAGGGTTTTGAGAGAAGAGAGAAGAAGAGGAGAAAAGAGAAGGAGAAGCAAGGAAATCGCCAAGTTCTTGAAGAATTGCTTGTGGATTTCGTCAAGGGGTGATCTCTACGAGTATGTGAGATCACATAGCGTTGCGTTCATTGACCCACGTGCCAATCATGATTTAATTCAGCGTAATTATGTTCTTGAAAGCATAGAAATTGAGTTCTTGATGGATTTGTTTGAAGTTTCTATTGGGTTCATGATTTTTGGGAGTTGTTGAGGAGTTCTTGATTTAGATTCATAAAATTAGATATCGTTTTGAGTAGATTCTTGCATATTTTGATTATGAAGTCGAATCTAAGTGTTTGAGAAAAGATCCAATTTAATCTAGAGGGTTTAGCGTTGAAAAACGAGCAAGAAAAATTGGAATTTTCTGGGGAATAGGTGTGGGGTGCCGCGCCACTCAGAGCACCCCATGTAACTTTTTGTAGGATAGGCTCTGGGGCGCCGTGCCAGCCAGTGTGCTCCATCCCTAGGTCTGTTGTTTTGCCTCTAGCGCCCCGCGCCACTCACAGCGCCAGGAACGCCAGGTCTTCTATCTTTTCTCACTTCTTTCCGATTTAGTTCCCTTGAAGCGTACCTATGTTTCCTAGTTGATTTCTACACTCTAAGGTATGTCTAAACAAT